AGCCTGTTTATTAAGGGATGTAAGATGTTTAATGAGGCAGCTGTGAGTTTTGTCTGAAAGGAGCAAGTTCAAGCAAGTAGTCAGATGAAATAGTGGGAATATCCAGCAGTTGGGCTGAATACAGGATATTGCCTGGAAAGCTGATCTATAGGACAGAAGGCTCTGCTGTGTGGCTGTAAATCCACTGAGGCACAGTAGTTTTATTGGTGGGGGTTGGATGTCAGGAAAGAACAGACAAGACTTTATGTGTCAACAGAAGGATGGGGAAATTAGACAGGTTATTATTATCAAGCTTAAGTCTAGGCAGCTGGTTTGAAATTAGCCTGGGAACTCACACAAAGGAAAATAAGACCCTATTTTCTGGGTTGCTTAGATGATCTTCAATGATCAAATCTTAGTGCAGAGCTCATAAGATGTGCTGTATTTAGGCATGGACATGGAAGCAGTGTGGTGGGATACTTCCTAAAGCTGTTTAAATGCCTTCTTCCTCAAATACAGATTAATCTGGGACTAGGGCAAGGATGAGTCTGCAAGTTCAGCTGTGGGAGACCTGGGCTGACAGAAGAAATAGAAATGGAGCCAGAGGACTCAAATTCCATTGTAGTTCTGTTGTAGTTCCCTGTATCATCACTATCACCACATCCACCATTAGCGATTTGGTTAAGAAAAAAACAGTATCTTGAATGTACATTGAGCTTTTGATTCAAGATGCTCAAAACCTTTTTTTTTTTTTTTTGAGACAGAGCCTCACTATGTCACCCAGGGTGGAGTGCAGTGGTGGGATCCCAGCTCACTGCAACCTCTGCCTCCTGTTTTCAAGCTAAGGTTCCAGCCTTAGCCCCTGGGGTAGCTGGGACTACAGGTGCTGGCCACCATGCTTTTTTTTTTTTTTTTTTTTATGTATTTTTAGTAGAGTTGGGGTTCTGCCATGTTGGCCAGGCTGGTCTTGAACTCCTGTGGCCTCAAGTGATCCACCCACCCTGGCCTCCCAAAGTGCTGGGATTACAGGCGAGATGCCCCAAATTTTTTTTTTTATCAATTGTTGACCCTTTAAAATCCTCACAATATATCTTGACAGTAAACTAAAATGTATTTAGTTTCTAATGGAGAGCATTAACAGGATATGTAGAATATTAGATTTAGAACGTGGGCATATGAATCTTAGCATAATGCTTACTAGGAAATTCTGGAATTGATTCCATTTCTGTAGTTACAAACACACAGGAAGTTCCTAGTTCACTGGGACTTCCTGATTTGTTCTGTTTTTTGTTTTGTTTTTTTGAGACGGAGTCTCGCTCTGTCGCCCAGTCTGGAGCGCAGTGGCGTGATCTTGGCTCACAGCAAGCTCTGCCTCCCGGGTTCACGCCATTCTCCTGCCTCAGCCTCCCAAGTTGCTGGGATTATAGGCGCCCACCACCATACCCGGCTAATTTTTTTGTATTTTTAGTAGAGACAGGGTTTCACCGTGCTAGCCAGGATTGTCTCAATCTCCTGACCTCCTGATCTGCCTGTCTTGGCCTCCCAGAGTGCTGGGATTATAGGCATGAGTCACCGTGCGTGGCCCTGATTTGTTATTTTAGCTTGCTCCTTCTCACCTAGAAGCTCTGTTTATTTCTGAGCAACCCTGGGGCTTGTCTCATAGGACAGGATTTATTTATCTCATCAAGGCTGAATGTGCCTTAGGAAGTCATAAACATAAAAAGAGAAGAAAAAGAATATGAGAGTTGTAAGCCTTCCTACTGCTGAGATACTAAGTTACAATGGGTTGAATTTAGGATATGCAATACTCTGGCTTCTAAACCCCAACAGTGTTAATTTATAGCAGGTTAGTGGCTGTGGGGTAGGGAGGTTGTAGAGGTCTCATGGAAAGGCTCTTATACTTAAAAGTGGTACTGTGTCCGGAACTGGTGGGTTCTTGGTTTCCCTGACTTCAAGAATGAAGCCACAGACCTTCGTGGTACAGTTCTTAAAGATGGTGTGTCTGGAGTTTCTTCCTTCTGATGTTCGGACATGTTCGGAGTTTCTTCCTTCTGATGGGTTTGTGGTCTCGCTGGCCTCAGAAGTGAAGCTGCAGACCTTCACGGTGAGTGTTACAGCTCTTAAGATGGTGCATCTGGAGTTGTTTGTTCCTCCCGTCCAGAGTTGTTCATTCTTCCTGGTGGGTTCTTGGTCTGGCTGGCCTCAGGAGTGAAGCGTCAGACCTTTGTGGTGTTACAGCTCATAAAGGCAGTGTGGACCCAAAGAGTGAGCAGCAGCAAGATTTATTGCAAAGAGTGAAAGAAGGAAGCTTCCAGTGGGGAAGGGGACCACAGTGGGTGGCGCTGGCTGGCTCCAGCAGCCTGCTTTTATTCCCTTATCTGACCCCACCTACATCCTACCGATTGGTCTATTTTACAGAGAGCTGATTGGTCCATTTTGAAAGAGTGCTGATTGGTATATGTGCAATCCTTTAGCTAGACATAAAGGTTCTCCAAGTCCGCACTTTGGAGCCCCACTGGCTTCACCTAGTAGATCCCGCACCAGGGCTGCAGGTGGAGCTGCCAGGCAGTCCTGCGCCTCGTGCCCGCACTCCTCAGCCCTTGGGCGTTGGATGGGACCTGGTGCCCCCGCGCAGGGGGCAGCGCTAGTCCAAGGGCTGGGGCTGCAGGACTGTGGTGGGGAGGCTGGGGCATGGCGGGCTGCAGGTCCCGAGCCCTACCCCACTGAGAGGCAGCTGAGGCCAGGCGAGAATTGGAGAGCAGCGCTGGTGGGTTGGCACTGCTGGGGGACCCAGCGCACCCTCTGCAGCTGCTGGCGCGGGTGCTAAGCCCCTGACTGCCCGGGCCTGGCGGCGTTGGCTGACTGCTCTGAGTGCAGGGCACGCCGAGCCCACGCCCACCCGGAACTTGCGCTGGCCCCCGAGCGCTGCAGCGCAGGCCGGATTTCCCCCGGCGCCTCTCCCTCCACACCTCCCGGCAAGCAGAGGGAGCCGGCTCCGGCCTCGGCTAGCCCAGAAAGGGGCTCCCACAGTGCCATGACGAGCTGAAGGGCTCCTCAAGCGCCGCCAGAGTGGACGCTGAGCCTGAGAAGGCGCAGAGAGCGAGGACTGCTAGCATGTTTTCATCTCTCAGTACCATTGGCTCAGGGCAGTTTCAGAGTGTATGTGCGGAGAACAGGGATATTGTTTGCAAAGCTGGCTGACCTCTTGCTGGAAGAGATGGTATTAAATAGAGCAGCTTAGGTCCTGCTGCTGCTGATTTTCTTTTTTACACTGACGATCTATAAGTTACTTTAGTATTTTGTGCAAAGCTGTACAAAGGTGTGTGGAATCCTTTTGTCATCCCCCATTCTGCTGGAAAGTGATTGAAGTAAAAAGCTACTTGTATTCTAGCAATTGTAGCAATTTTTGGAAAGTTTAAATTATTGGGGGAAATTACTGGTATTATCTTTGTTGTTTGTTGGAGCTTGATAGAGCCCCTTGTGTGTGTGTATAAGAAATAATAGCGTGAAGATTTAAAAATAGCCTCGGAAAGTAGTAAGTTGCATTCATGTTATTTGTCTCAAGTGCTGTTGTGTCCTAAGCACCTCTGTATGAGGAAAGAAGTAAATCTGTTTTTATTTTCCTTTATACTGAGAACGATTGTTTCGCATTGAACCTTTCTGTTATGAAATACCTGACTTCACTACCTAAAAAATTAACTGGCAGTGGATAACAGAGTAGCTTTGCTGGCACCATACTAGTCTAGTAGCACAGTGAACCCAATGGAGTGATCTGTCATATCTGTCATATTACTGAACATTATCCAGACTCTTCCCTAAACTAAGGATATTTTTAATGCAGAGCTTTGATGCCATGTAAAATTTCCTCATGCAACACAATGTGCATATTGTGATTACAGTTTTATTTCATGGGTCCCTGTCAATTTTTAATGCAGAGCTTTGATGCCATGTAAAATTTCCTCATGCAACATGATGCGCTTATTTTGATTACAGTTTTATTTCATGGGTCCCTGCCAATTTTTGTAATGATAATGTCACAGTAATAACATGGTTAATGACAAATGAGAATTAAGGCATGTAGCATTTCCTATTCCCCACCTTACAACATACACATTTCTGTAGTTTTTTTCAGTCCAGCGGTGGAGAAGGTGGGGGATATACGGGAAGCTGTAACTCTTATGAATTATTTGACCAGTTTTTCATTCCGTATCTCATAGATAATTGTAGAGTATAGGACCTGTATCCATTGTACCTGGTACAACAGATACATGTAAAGCAGATAGGGAGGAAACAGCATAATTATCAATACTGACTCTAGAGTTTTTCCATAGGAAGAACTTATGAACAGTAATTTGATTGAGGTGGAGGTTCTTTTTGGTAGCCAAGGTACTACCATGATTTTACATATAAAATACACTTTTGCTCCAGTTAGTAAATTCAATAAACAACATCTCTAGACCTGCCGTGGTGGCTCACACCTGTAATCCCAGCACTTTGGGAGGCCGAGGCGGGTGGATCACCTGAGGTCAAGAGTTCAAGACCACCTTGGCAAAACCTTGTCTACTAAAAATACAAAAATTAGCTGGGTATGGTGGCAGGCACCTATAATCCCAGCTACCTCACTTGAACCCCGGTGGTGGAGGTTGCAGTGAACTGAGATTGCACCACTGTACTCCGGCCTGGGCAACAGAACAAGGCTCCATCTCAAAAAAATAAAGTAAAATAAAATAAATAAATAACGTATCTCCAGGATAGACACAGTAAGTATTGATTGGCTAGTTTTCTTTACACAGTTTAATCATATAGGCATGCTATTAGGAAAAATATGTAAAATAGACTTAAAGATGTAGAAAGCATTCCTTAAATTATTGGAAGTCGATTCTTAGAAAATGAAATGTGTGTAGTGGATTTAATTGTAATGTCTATATGTCTGTTTTTAAAAATATTTTTTCCTGTTTTTAATTAACATCAGAATTTAACAATTCTTCAATTCTCAATTGTTGATTTTTGTTTTCTTCTAGGGGCCATCTTATCTTAGTTCCAGAATTTAGTCTTCCTTTGGAATACTACCTAATTCCCTTCCTTATCATAGTGGGCATCTGTCTCATCTTAATAGTCATTTTCATGGTAGGTACATTAACTTTTAATAATTTTTAAAAAATAGTATGGATGAATCTAAAAACATTGTATTGAGTGAGAGAATTTAAACAATATGTACATAAAAGAGTGCATATTGTATAAATTCATTCATATGAAGTTCTAGACAAAACAAAGATAATGTGAGTAGGAAAAAATAGGAATGGTGATTTCCTCTGGGGGGTTAGAGAGAAGTGATCAATTTACTGAAAAGAGTATGAGGGAACTTTTGGGGGATGACAGTCATGTTCTGTATCTTGATAGAGATGTGGGTTGCAAAAATGCATGGCATTTGTCTGGATTCACACAATCAATTTTGTTGTACTTTTCATTATATGTAAATTTTACCTCAAAAGAAAACGAACTGTAAAAAAAAATTTACTAAACTGAGTAATGATTTGCATGCCAAAGTATTTTAGGGAAAGTACACTGATACCTGCAACTTACTTTAAAATACACTGTAAAAAAATAAGAGGAAAAGTAAGATGTATTGATGGGTAAATAGAGATGTGACAAAAAGCATAGTAAAATGTTAATTATAGAATTCAGGTGGATATATGGGTATTTATTATAAAATTCAACTCTTCTGTATGTTTGAAAATTTTTATATTAAAGTATGAAAAAAATAATGTGAGAGCTTAAGGTTAAGGGGGAATGACATATTATTTCTCCGTAATGGTGATTATCAAAGTATGGTCACAGGACTATTAGTAGGTCTGCAAAATCAAAATTATTTACATAATAATATTAAGGTAATATTTGCCTTTGTCACTCTTATTCTCTTAGACGCGTGTAGTAAAAGTTTCTAGAGGCTACGTGATGTACAATATCAAAATATTTGAAAACAGAAGCAGTTTGAAAATCCCTCTGTATTCTATTTTTACAGATATTAAAATAGATTTGCAAAGATATAAAACAGTCCCACTATTCTTGCCAACTTCTTTGTCATAAAGAATATGTATTTTAATATTCAGTACATTTATTATTATATTGAATTCATAGATTAGTTTAAAGATTAAATGCTATCTTTAAAATGTTCAGTCTTCCTATGATGCTATCGTATTTTTAAATTTACTTATTTAGGTCTTTCCATCAGTTGAATAATAATTTTTCTATAAATGTTTTGCATGTCTTCTTTTAGACTTATCACACATACAGTTTTTCTTGCTACCATAAAAGGGATTTTTGAAATTATATTTTATAATTGGTTATTCTCATAATTGAGTATTAGAGCATTGCTTTTTATTGAACGTTTAATTTTGGAATAATGTTAAGATTTACAGAAAGTTTGCAAAGAAGAGAATTCCTGTTTATCCCTCATCTACTTTCCCACATTGTTAAAATTTTACATCGCCAGGAGACTTTTGTCAAAACTAAGAAACTGACATTGGTACATTACTATTAACTAAACTCTACATTTTGGATTTTACCAGGTTTTTCATTAATGTGCTCTTTCTGTTCCAGGATCAAGTCTAGGATACCACATTGTATTTCATTATCCTGTCTTCCCTCTGGTCTATGACAATTTTGCTGTTCTTGTTTTTCATGGCCTTGATAGTTTTGAGGAGTACTAGCCAGGTATCCTGTAGAATGTCTCTCAACCTGATTTTTTTCTCATGATTAGACAAGGCTACAGGTTTTTCAAAAGAGTATCACAGAGGTGAAGTGCCCTTCTCCTCACATCATATTTGGGGGTATATGATATCTGTAGAACATCACTGATGATGCTAACCTTCATTCCTTGGTTAAGGTAGTGTTTGCTGAATTTCTCCATTATAAAGTTAATATTTTTTCCTTTTTCTACTCTGTTCTTTCTTTAGAAGTGAGGCACTAAGTATAGCCCACTCTTAAAGTGGGGGAAGGGGAGGGCATATCTGCATTATCTGAAATTCTTCTGCAAGGAAGATTTCTCCGCATTTATTTATTCAACCAACCACTTACATTAGTATGCACTCATGTATATTTATTTTACACTTAGGTTATAATCCAGTACTATTCATACGTTATTTTTGGTTTTTGATTGTTTTTAAATTGTTTAACTTTGGCTGTTGTCATGCTGGATCTTATGTTCCTTTGATTCAGTGCTATCCCTTTTTAAATGATTATTAAGCACTTCTTGACTACTGTCTTATACTATAAGATGCTTCAGGTTCATTGTATATTTTTTATATTTTTCCTGTCCCACCCCTAGCATCAGACCTTTTCCCAAGGAGTCCTAGTTTTTTTAATTAGAGAGTTGTATTTAGAAAGCAAGGTTTGATCAGGGGACATTATTTATTTTTATGTATTAATCATATAATCATGTCATTAATCATTAATCATGTAATCGTGTAACAAATTCCATTACAGTAATTTGTTTGTTGATTCCCTTGGGGTTTCAGCGTAGAAGCAAGAAAGTAGACAGTAAGTTAGAAAACCAAACAACAAACAAACGAAAATACCCTTGGAAAACCAGGAGTACAAGTAAATATCCTCATACAGGGAAAGAATATAGACTAAAAACTTACAATAAACATTATTAAATGGTGAAATGCTAGAAGCCTTCCCTTGAAAGTCAAGAACAGCAGGGCCGAGTGCGGTGGCTCACACTGTAATCCCAGCACTTTGGGAGGCCGAGGCAGGCGAATCACCTGAGGTCAGGAGTTCAAGACCAGCCTGGCCAATGTGGTTAAACCCCATCTCTAGTAAAAATAGAAAATTTAGCTGGGCATGGTGGCAGGCGCCTTCAATCCCAGCTACTCAGGAGGCTGAGGCAGGAGAATCGTTTGCACCCAGGAGGCGGAGGTTGCAGTGAGCTGAGATCTTGCCATTGCACTCCAGCCTGGGCAACAGGAGCGAAACTCAGTTTCAAAAAAAAAAAAAAAAAAAGGTCAAGAACAGGAAATGGATGTCTATTGTTCTACCTCCTTTAACATTGTGCTATGTTTTTTGGGAAAATAAGGGGGAAAAAGCAGTATAAGTCCTGGACATAAATCAGATTTTTATTTGCTTGACTTTTTAAAATGGGGTACTGGATTGTATGTCTTTCATCTGTTGTAGTAATAATTGATTTTTCTCTCTTTTATCATGTTTATGTTGGGTTACATTAATATGCTTTGTAAATTTTCAAATTCCATATATTCTGGAGATAAATCCTGTTTATGATGTATAAATTTTGCCCTTACATCTCTAGATTATTCAGATTTCTAATATAGATTAATTTTTTATACTTGGACATCGATGTAAAAATCCTAGAATATTAGCAATCTGAATATTCAGGTAAGAGAAAGCTTTGGTTTTATGGGGCCAGAATAACCTTGACATGAAAACTAGACAATCCCTTGAGCACTGTTGGTAGGAAGGTAGAATGGAACAACCACTAAAGAAGACAGTATGGCAACTCCTCAAAAAATAAAACATGGAATTACCATACGAGCTGGTAATTCCACTTCTGGGTATATACCAAAAAGAATTCAAAGCAAAGACTCGTGTGATATTTGTACACCATGTTCATAGCAATATTATTTACAATAGCCAACGATGAAAGCAACCCAAGTGTACATTGACGGATGAATGGATAAACAAGATGTGGAATATACATGCAATGGAATATTATTCAGTGTTTTTAAGGAAGGAAATTCTGACACATGTTGCAACATAGATGAACCTTGAAGACTTTATGCCATGTGAAATAAGCCAGTCGCAAAAGGACAAATACTGATTCTACTCATACGACATACCTAGAGTAGCCAAATTCATGGAGACAGAAACTAGAATGGTGGTTGCCAGGAACTGAGGGGACTGAGGAAGGGGGAGTTATTGTTTAATGGATATAGCATTTCAGCTTAACAAGATGAAGTCTGTGAATGGATGGTAGTGATGGTAGCACAACAGTATGAATGTACTTAAGCCATCGAACTGTACATTTAAACGTGGTTGAGATAGTAAGGTTTATGTTGTGTATATTTTACCGTAATTTAAAAAAAACTAGACAATCAAAATTATAGCTCATAAAACTAAAGCTTTCTCTTACTTTCTAAACTAGTTTTTTTTTTTTTTAAGAAAATTTGGGTTATCTATTACTTGACATTTTTGTAGAGGATGCCTATAAAATCATCTAGGTCTAGTGACTTTTTCATAGTTATATAGACATTCAGATGGTTTTCCAGTTCCTACTAAATTGTATTTCTAAGAAATTTCTGGTTTTCAAGTGTAGTGGAATAAAGTGATTTATAATATTCATATATTCAAATAACAATTTAAAGAGAATTTCTACTATTTGTGGAATAAGTTATCTTTATTCATATCCATCTGTGCCTTTCACAATGTTGTCAGAAATTATTGCCTTATTAGTCTTTCATAGAAGTAGGTTTTCATTCAATAAATATTTATTCTGTACCTATGGTGAACTAGGCACTGTTCAAGGGTCTACAGATTCATCAGTAAACAAAATCGGTAAAAATCCCCGATGTTAAGCCGCTTACATTTTGGTACAACTTAATGCTAAATTTTTTACTTTCTTTATCTTTATCATGAATTTTTGTTCTTATTTTCTTTCTTCTACCTTGTCTGGTTGTATGGCTTTTCTTTTTCTACTTTATTCAGCCAAATGCTTATTTTTTTTTCTAGTATATGCATTTAGGTTATAAATTTTTCTACAACAATAACTATAGCTGAAACCCACAACTTTTGATAAGGAAAATTCTTGTTTTCATTCGACTTAAATTTAAAAGTTTTTCATTTTAATGTAGGATGTTTCTTTATCACTCTTAATGTTTCAATCCGTATGAAGGGGGAACTCAGTTACTATAACTCTTAGCCCTTCTCTGCCCATTTACTCTTTCCACCTTAGAGGAGATAAAGTGTCTTATCTGTGTGGCATAGTTAGGAAGAATAAATTGGGCACACTTGGCTCAGCTCCACCATCTTTGTTTTGTTATTAACCTGACTTTGGGACATAGATGTTGATTCAGCTCCTCCAGGGTTAGGGCTGGTTCTGCAATTCTGCGACAGGGTGAAGGGAAGGCCTACTTCATTCCAAAGTTGTGTTTGTCTATATCTGAGTGGCTAAGGCAACCTAATTCTATTGCTCAATAAAAAATTATGTTTCTTGCACCGCACGGGGGTCATGCTAATCTTCTCTGTATCATTCCAATTTTAGTATATGTGTTGCTGAAACAAGTACAAAAAGTTCTGTTTCTCTCTCCAGTGAGTTAGTTGTTTCACCTTCCTCCTCCTGGCAGTTGATGGTCTTATTTCTCAAGTTATTTAGAATCTAGGTGGCATGCTGATTATAACACTCCCTCAGAAAAGTAGATATTCATTACGATTTGTTCTGTGACTTATAAATTATTTCAGTACAGTTTTACATTTCCAAAATATGTATTTTTTTCCTATTGATTTCTAATTCAGTTGTGTTGAGGTAAGAAAACATTGTATGTTATGGATTCTTTGTGGCATGGTTTTCTGATTAAATTTTGTAAACATTCCCTGTGTGTGAAAAGACACGAAGGGCAGTTCTGTGTTCATTAGTTCGAACTTGTGAATTTGTTTTGTCTAATCTTTTAACAGTTTTATTGAGATATAATTAACATAAAAATTAACTCATTTAAGTGCACAATTCAATAATTTTATTTGCAGAATTATGCAACCATCACCACAATCGTTAATAATTTTCTGCGTTCTTTTCTATTTTCTGAAGCTGTGCTAAGAATAGAACAATCTTATGAGCCACATTTTATTATAATTTTAAATTTTCTAGTAGCCAAATTTAAAAGGTTAAAAAAAGAAAACAGATGAGATTAATTTTAATACTATATTTAACCCAATAAATCTAAAATATATAACAACATTCAATTAATACAAATATATGATATTTTTACATTCTTTTTGTACAGTGTCTTCGTAATCTGGTGTCTACTTTATACTTACAGCACATCCCAATTCAGACTATCTATGTTTCAAGTGCTCAGTAGTCACATGTACTTGGTGGCTACCAAAATTGGACAGCACAGGTCTATAGTCTTAACAATTTTTTGTGTGCTTACGCTATAAGTTGCTGAGCTTGTGAATGTATGTATTTCACTCTTTTGTTTCTAGATAAGGTGTTGTTTTTATTGTTGTCATGACTCTCCTAATGATGCTTTTTTCCTTAAATTCTATTTTGCTTGATATTCTAGGCTTCTTTTGCTTAATAGATCTTTATCCCTTTATTTTATTTTTTATGTTAATTTGGTTATTTTATGCAGGATCTTGCTCTGTCACCCAGGCTGGAGTGCAGTGGCACAATCATAGCTCACTATAACCTCAAGTGGTCCTCCCACCTGAGCCTCCCAAGTAGCTGGGACTAGAGGCGCACATCACCATGCCCAGCTAATTGTTTTTATATTTTTTTTTGTAGAAATGGGGCCTCTCTGTGTTGCCTAGGCTAGTCTCAAACTCCTGGGCTCAAGCAGTCCTTCAGCCTTGGCCTCCCAAAGCACTGGAGTTACAGGTGTGAGCCACTGCACCTGGTCCTATCCCTTTATTTTTTACTTTTATTTTTGTCCTAATGTATCATTCAGTTTTTATCTTGTGTCTTGTAAATAGCATATGATTGGAATTTTTTTCTTATACAATGTGATATACTCCTTTTAAATACTGGTGAATTTAATCCACTTAACATATATTGTGATTACATATGTATTTGGATTAATTTCTGTTGTTTATTTTTTATTCTGTTTTTTCTTCTGTGTAAATTTGCATTAATAGCTTTTACTTTCTTTTCCCTATTGATATGAAAATTTGCATTATATTGCTCTTCTTTTAGTGGTTACCATTAAACTTTAAAAAAATTTATGGAGGTATGATTTGATATAATAAATTACACATATTTAAATTGTACATTTTGGTAAGTTTTGACATAGGTTTATATGCATATATATCACATTTGCATATGTATATCACATATATATCACACATATCATACACATATGTAACAGATATGTATGTATATACCTGTGAAACCACCACCACCACAATCAAGATAATGAAATATTAACCACCCTAAAAAGTTTGGCAATGCCTTCCTTCTGCACCTTTCAACTTTTCCTTCATCCTCCCCTCGCCACCCTTCTCCATGCCCAGGCAACTACAAATCTGATTTTAGTCACTATAGATTGCTTTGCATTTTCTACAGCTTTGTATAAATGGAATCATAAAGTCTGTACTCTTTTGTGTCTGTCTTCTTTCTGTCACCATAATTATTTTGAGATTTATATATGTTATTGAGTACATGGATTATTCATTCCTTTTTATTGCTGAGATGTATTCCATTGTGTAAATATACCATGATTTGTTTACTCATTTACCTATTGATCAACATTTGGGTTGTTTCTAGTTTTTGGCTATTACAAATAAAGCTGACATGGACATTTGTTGTATGGAAATATGCTTTCATTTCCATTGGGTAAGTATATCTAGGAGTGGGACAGTTGGGTCACAGGATAAGTGTGTGTTTAGATTCATAAGAAATTGCCAAGCTCTTTTCCAAAGTCGTTGTACCATTTTACAATCCCACCAGAAGTGTATGAGAGTCCCAGTTCCTCCACTTCCATGCCAACACTTGGTGTAGTCAGTTTTACATTTTAGTCACCGAATAGGTGTATTGTATTATAGTATTTGTGATTTGAATTTTTGTTTTCCTGTTGACTGCTGACTTTGCACATCTCTTCAAGAGCTTATTTGCTGTTTGTATGTCTTGTATGGTGAAGTATCTTCAAATATTTTGTCCATTTTTTCTGTTGGGTAACTTGTTTTCTTATTGAGCTTTGAGAGTTTTTTATATATATTCTGGATACAAATCCCTTGTGTATACAATTTGCAAATATTTCAGTCTGTGGCTCATCTTTATTTTTAATTTTTAAATTTTATTTATGTATTCATTTATTTATTTATGTTTTGGAGACAGGCTCTCACTCTGTTGCCCAGGCTGGAGTACAGTAGCACAAACATAAATCACTGCAGACTTGACATCCTGGACTCAAATGATTCTCACACTTCAGCCCCCGAAGTAGCTGGAACTACAGGCACACGGCACTGCACCAGGCTAATTTTTTTCTTTTTAGAGATAGGGTCTCACTATGTTGCCCAGGCTGGTCTTGATCTCCTGGCCTCAAACAATCCTCCCGCTTCAGTTGTCTTTTATTTTTTTAACAGTGCCTTTTGAGCAGAGAAGTTCTTAAATTTGACATTCATATTTTTCCTTTGCAAAGGGTGTTTTGGTATTTGGTTTTTGGCCCTGTGTACTTCCTTTTTATTTTTGCAAGCATAGCAATTTATAGTTTAAAATATTTTGTATATTTTATCCAGCATTTCTGAATATTTGTAGTGAAGGTGTTCTGCATTATTTCTGCCCATTATTCTGCAGTAACTAATAAGTGTATGTTTGAAATTTTTATTAGTTTGTAATATATAGGAATATCAACCTTCCCATTATTTTTTATTTTTATTTTATTTATTTATTTATATATTTATTTATTTTGAGATGGAGTCTCGCTTATTTATTTATTTATTTATTTATTTTGAGATGGAGTCTCGCTCTGTCACTCAGGCCAGACTGCAGTGGCACTATCTCGGCTCACTGCAAGCTCCGCCTCCCGGGTTCACGCCATTCTCCTGCCTCAGCCTCCCGATAGAGACAGATAGACATGCTGGCCGCGCCTGGATTAATTTTTTGTATTTTTAGTAAGAGAATGGGGGTTTCACCTGTTTAGCAGGATGGGTCCTCGATCTCTGACCTCAAATGATCTGCCTGGCTTTGGCCTCCCAAAATTCTGGCATTACAGCGTGAAGCCACCGCGCCGCCATTCTTTTTTTTTTTTAACATTGGAGTCTTTATAAAATCTATTAGTTTACCCATTTGTATTTTGCGGCAAACAAGTTGTATGTTTTATAATGTCTCCCTGTCAGTAATCCAAAGGTAATCAGATCAATTAATAAAAACTTCAAAGGGATTAATTTTGGGTTAATTAATCACTAATAGATTTTAATGCTTTAATAATAATACTACTCAGTTCGAATTTAAATTGAATGAATTGATTTGCAGTACATCCAGAAACTTAAAAAATATTTTTGTTATTTTTTAATGGTCAAAACTTTTCTATTGCACTTTAATAACTGCCTCTTTTTTACTCTTTTATTTTTAGATCACAAAAATTTGTCCCAGGAATAGACATAGAGGCTAGAAGAAACAGACCTTCGTAAGATCACTTAAGAAACTTCCTGTCATAAATTTTTTTTTTTTCCAGAAAGGTAAAGTACTTTCTTTCTAAATAATTATCTTTATTATTTAAGAACTGCAGGATGACCTCATATCTTTAAAAAGATTTTTTTTTTAAATTATTTACACTTATAAAGTTCTAGGGTAACCACTGCCCCAACGTTAGGTTTGTTACACCAGGTATACAATTGGCCAATGTTGGTTTGCTGCACCCATCAAAATCATTTACGATGAGTATTTCCTCCCCTAACCGCTATCCTCTTAGCCCCCATCCCCAAAACAGGCCCCTGTATGTGGATGGTTCCCTCCCCTGTGGTCCATGTGTTCTCCATTGGTCACCTTCCAGTTAAGAGTGAGGAATATGCGGTGTTTGGTTTCTGTCCTCCGTGTATTGCTTGGAGATGATGGATTTCCCAGCTTCATCCCAATGTCCCTGCCCAAGGACATGACCCCTCATCTTTTTTTTAATGGCTGCATAGGGTATTCCTGGTGGGCGGGGTATAAATGCCACATTTTCTTTATTCCAGTACTAGTATTGATGGATCATTTGGTTGGTTCCAGTCTTGCTATTGTGAATAGTGCCCAATACACATTCGTTTGCATGTGTTTTTATAGTACATGATTTATAATTCTTGGGTATATACCCCGAATGGAATTGCTGGATCAATGGTATTTCTGGTTCCTAAATCCTTTGAGAATTGCCACCACTGTCCTTCAAAATGGTTGGAACTAATTTGCACACCCACCAACAGGTGGTAAAAGCATTCCTATTTTCTCCACATACTCTTCACGCATCTGTTTGTTTCCTGGAAAACAACAGATTTCATTTCTCCACATCCTCTCCAGCATCCCTGTTTTTCTGGTTTTTTTTTTTTTATTTTTTTTTGAAGATGGAGTCTCACTCTGTCACCACCAGGCTTGGAAGGTACAGTCCGCAACAGTCTTGGCTCCACTGCCAACCCTTCCACCCCCAGGGTTCAAAGCTCGATCTCCTGCTTCAAAGCCCTCCCCCGAGTAGACTGGGATTATAGGTTCCTCCCAGGCACCCCCGGCCTATGTTTTGGTTATTTTTTAGTAAAGAGACGGGTTTTCACCATCTTGCCAGGCCTCGTCTTGACTCCTGACCCGTGATTTCCCCCACCTCAGCCACCAAACGAAGTGGCTGGGATTGCAGGTTGTAAGGCCACTGTGCCCGGCCTGTTTTCTGACTTTTTAAGACTATACTCTTGTTCTACCTTTCGTTCCCTAACCATAACTCTGCTAACCTAGTAGACTCTTCAGATTAAGAATGAATGTGAAGAGGATGATCTTTTGCTGTGAGGACGCTTGGTGAAAGGCCAGGAAAAAAAGGAATACACAGTCTGCAAGAGAATTTAAAACAATAATTAAACTAACCAAAATGCTTATAGATATTATCCACTCATGTTGCATTAGTTATCCTTAAACAATGTCAGTGGATGAAATATTTTTCTGCACCAGGTTGGACTACTCCCACTGTACCTTCCTCCTAATTTCGTCTCCCATGATTATAACACGTTATAAGTTTTTGTATTAATTAACATATAAGTAACGCTGTTATATATCATTCCACTTATATATAGTCATCCTTTAATTTTCATACCTTTTATGAACCTATAAACTATTATTTATTTCCCCCTTATAGATGAGGAAAAATAGGGTCAGGGACATTAGGTAAGTTTAATATACACCATTAGCCAGTTTGACAAACTACCAGGAAGAGGTGTGATAATAAACCAATTAGCCAAATGTAGTTTCCCCTATTATGATAGTTTTCTCTGTGTTTAGTAACCTTTTATGCATAATCTATTGGATAAATGCCTTTTGGCTGGGATTTTATGCAGTAGATTATCTGGAATAAAGCCCAGACTTCATTTTCATATACAATAACCAGACTTCATTTCATAACTCAGTAAAGTATTCTGTTTTTTAATTCAGCAAGTTGAAAAAAGTTGTAAGGAAGTGGGGGAGAAAATAGAGAAAAAGACAATAATAACATAGTTTCTGCCACATTTTTTTTTTCAAAAATAAATGTTTAAAACCTTGGCCATTTAACATTAACATTTAAAAACAGAACCTTTAACAACAAAAAGTAAAGGAAAAAAAAACCGATCATGTTAAAATTAATGAATAGACATTCCTAAAAATCACTGCATTTTAACAATTTACATTATCATTATACACGTGAATTTACATTATCCCCATTATACCAGTGTGGATAGTTAAATAGTTTTTTGTTTTGTTTTTGTTTTAAAGAATGGGGTTCATCCAACTGTGTTTTGCTGAGGCTGAGCTTGAACTCGCTGGCTCAGTGATCATCCCACTCGGCTTCTCACGTAAACTAAACTAATAGGCATGTTGCCCCTGGCCCAAGCTTGGAATTTAGTTAAGAATTTCTACATATGACCAGAGAACTAAGTTTTGAAGATTAGGAATTACTTTTTTTAGGCTTATTTTGTGTGTTAAAATTGTTTAAAAGGCTGGGCAACGGTGACTCAACACCTGGTAATCCAGCCAACTTAGGGAGTCCGAGGGCAGACGGATCACGAGGTCAGGAGATTGAGACTCATCCTGGCCAACATGGTGAAACCCGTCTCTAACTAAAAATACAAAAAATTAGCCATAGTAAGTCCAGCTACTCAGGAGGCTGAAAGGCAGGGGATATCACTCAAAAGACGGATCACGAAGGTCAGGAAGGAATCGAGAAACCCATCCTGGCCAACATGGGGGGTTTTGGGGAAAACCCCGTCTCTACTAAAAATACAAAAAAATTAGCCATAAGTACCAGCTAAGCTCCAGGAGCTGAGCAGGGAAATCACGTGACCTTGGGAGGCAGAGGTTGCAGTGAGCCAAGATCACTCCACTGCACTCTAGCTTGGTGACAGAGCAAGACTCCTTCTCCAAAAAAAAAAAAAAAGGTTTAAAAAATGGTGATATTGTCCTGGGTTTAAAGGGAATGCATGTCATTGGCTTTTCCTCTGAGTAAGATGGGTAGCTATAGTAGGATTTTGAACAGAGGAGAGAGAGAATGTCTCAGTTAACTGTTAAAAGGATCCTTCTGCTGGCATATTAAGAATAGGTTATTAGAGGGCAAAGGGTGTAGACAGAGAGAACAGACAGGAAAGTTATTGTAGTAATTCAGGTGTGATACAAATGTGGCTTGGGCTGATTATCAGTGGAGGAGAAGAAATCTTCAAATCCTGGCTATATCTGGAGATGGAATATACTGAATTTACTGATGGACTAGATATTGGGAGAGGAGACAAGGATGACTCCAGATTTTTTGGTCTGAACAACAAAATGGATGGTCTCTCTATTTAAGGAGAGTCCTT